TGAAATAGCGAAATTCAATATGCTCTGATTTCATCTTTACGCATGGCAACTTTGTAAATGTCAATCGCGGTTCGTTTTACGTATAGTGGATTGATTTTTATCATTATTGAATATCAGTTTTTCTAGGGTTTCCCAAGTTTTAAAAATCTATTAAATATGCTAACATAACGTACTTAGGAGGTTCTATAATGACCCAATTTTTTAGTGACAAATCTTTTTTTAGCGAAGCGGTACAAAATCTGCCGTTCTCCTTTGTGTAATACTTTGCCCGACCCGGGAATAGAACCCGAGACCCCTTGCCCGGCAGTCGCACTTGCGACCACTCGGTCAACGAGGCATCGATACGTCACTATGCGAAATAAGTAACACTAATATTATTCCATGACAAAAATAAAATTGTACATACATATTTGTAGAACTAGATATTATTAATTTGAATTACGTGCATACGTACGTAAGTCACGCAAATAACGAAATGTACTGAAAATGTAAATTTTCACGACGCTTTCCTTTCCTACGATGTATAATTGACTGCCGGTCTGAATTTATCGCGTACGTATGTACATAACTATCACGTAATTTTACGTGTACATAATATGTTATTATGTTAATTTAATTATGGTTATTTACGTAGCTCTAGTTTTCCATTACTTCAAAGTCAAGTTTAAATAATTTTTGCAATTATGTAGTTTCCAGAGTATCAAAATTCGAGAGAAAATCTAATTAGTCCGTCAGTTAGATAAAGAAAAAATATTAGACACGTATATTTTTATTTTCTCGTATTAAGTTGCAATACTTAGATAAAATGGCGCTAAGTTTAAGTGCGCTAAGTTTAAGTTTACTAAGTTACGTCATAAGTTGCTACAAAATGTGACACGCTGTGACGTCACACGATATTTCAAATTAATATATCGTCGAAAGTATTTAATTTTGTGAGAAAAGAAAAAATACGTGTCTAAAGTTTTAAATTAATGTACCAGGCGGACGTTAAAACAAAATTTAGGAAACTACCCTATTAGAGTAAAAAGTTAATTTTAAAACCATAAAGATATGGTTCTCTGAAGGGCCTTTAGCGAAGCTAAATAATATTTGTTCTCTTACAGTGATGATAACTAAATCATCTTTCCTAAAATTATCTACTGTTTATTCTCGAGTAAGTAAAAGTAAAACAACAATATTTTTGTGAAACAGAAGGAATGCATTATGTGAAAATCATTTTACTACCTTAAATTCTTAAGATCTTAAATTCTTTCTCCCTACAAATTAGACTCGTTAATCACAGTAATATTATAAACGTGAAAGTTTCTTCGTTTGGATGTTTGTCCGTCAATCACGCTGAAACTACTGAACGAATTTTGATGAAATTTGGTATACAGGCAGGGTATTAGCTAACTTAGGTGACAGGATACATTTTATTCCAATTAAATGCTCCTATGGGATAAAACAGGAATCATATTCTACGCGGACGACGTCGCTGGCAACAGCTTGTGTTATATAAAGCATCAAGCATGTTTCGACTACCAAAAAATGCAATAATTGCTTTATTTTTTACAAACAGCAAAATATTTTACCCCGTTAATGATACGTAATGATTGGCAGGCTGTCAAAGACAAATCACTCAAACTAATTAACACCAACAAATAATTCATTAATGCAATGCTAAATACGAATCGTAAATGTAAAACTGACATTCATTTTGTAGTAACACATTTTACTTAATTACTTTCGAACTTGCGACTGTCGGATTTAGAAGCTGAACTATTTTTACAGAGTCTGGAAGCCCTCGCTCTGTGTTAAAACAACACAATAATATTATCAAGCCTTTTTATCCCCGAAGGAGTAGGCAGAGGGGCACATTACGGAACTTAGTGCCACTGTACAATGTAACACCCACTTTTCACTATTTATGTTATGAGTCTAATGTAATAGGGGATGAGCCTATTGCCATATATATTTTCGCACTTGCGATTTTTTTTTATGGTTAAGCCGGTAAACGAACAGACGGATCACCTGATGGTAAGCAATCGGCGTCGCCCATGGACACCTGGAACAGCAGAGGCGTTACAAGTGCGTTACCGGCTTTTTGGGGATTAGGATCTTGAGGATCGTTGGGGATTCAGGGATTGGAGAGATTGGGGAAGGGGAGGGTAATTGGGCCTCCGGTAACCTCACTCACACGACGAAACACAGCGCAAACGTTGCTTCACGTCGGTTTTCTGTGAGGCCGTGGTATCACTCCGGTCGAGCCGGCCCATTCGTGCGGAAGCATGGCTCTCCCACACACAACAAATACTGTATTAAATTAATCCTAATCTAGTAAACAACTCAACCAAAACTTAGTAAAGGTCAGGCGACAGAATATTTACATTAAACCGTCTAATATTTACACTAAACCGTCATTTAAATCGTTTCTAACAATGATAGTGCAGAACGAAAATGTATTGTAGTTGGAGAAAAATCAACCATTGTAACAATGATTATACAAAGACACATTGCATTGAAACAAACCTTTGACAAACGGAATTCTGTCTCCAAAAGCAATATGTGAAAGACCTATCGTGGATAGGCAAGGGTGGGATGCGAGGCTCGTTTGAACGTTGCTCATATGCCAGTGGACGCCGCCAGTGCGCCCGCGTCGCACAAGTGCCAGTCGGTACAGTGGATCAAACGTGCAGTGTCGTGATATAGTGAACCAATATGAGATCCGCATTAATATGCGTTTTTATCGCAATCGTTGTGAGTATTCACATATTTTTTTTTTATTAAGTGAATATATCTAATTAATAAAAAATATATAATACCTACTAGAAAGCTCGTAAACAAAGCTCAAGTTTATTTTTAATGAAAATTCGCTGAGTTTTAAGTGTTTATAAAGGCGTGAATTAATTATATTAGGGGAACCCCGGTCAAAGATCATCCGATCTCTGGCAAATAAGAGTATTGCATATTTTTATATTTGATAGAAATTATTGTTGAGATGAAGTTGTTCTGGTCTAACTTTATCCAGAATCTAGCATTGCGTGTGTTTCGATACCATTTTTAACACGTTAAACGCCATGGGGATCAACAGTGACCGACGTTAGCGGAGGATTTACCTTCAACAGTTTTTTATTGCCAGTCAAAGTCTTAACCTAGCACCTAGCCTAGCCTTAGATTAAAAACAGCTTAAGAAGAGCATAACATTATTAATTTTTGTTTACTTTGAAATGATTTATCTAAATAAGTTTATTTTACAATAATAATTAGTGGAATAAAGGGCCATATTTATTTATATATTTTATTTTTTAGATAAAATATAAAAAAATATGATAGGTATGTAATGAGATAGACAGTAAACTGACAGTTTAATAAAAAAACGTTTTTACATTGGAAACTAAGCAACAATCCAACGAATTAATTGACCAAAACGCGACGATACGATGTGACTGATTTTCACTGGACGTAATTACAGCATTTTTCACTAATAAATTCTGATAGATGCCATCTATATATACAGTATCTAATAATTATACGGTTTCAGGAATTTGTAAAATGTATAAAAACTTATATGAAGATAGATAATAACATTTATAAAAACCAATTATTCGTGTACAAAAAGGTCAATTTATGCATATTTCTGTCATCAAAATATGACAAAATAACTTTGATTTAATTACATATCTATTTCAGTTTTTTCATCCTAATCATGGGTTCAGGAAATACCAGGCATTTCATAGAGGTGACATAAAAACAAATTAATAGTTATATTATATCAAAATGCAGATAACTTCGGTTGAAATTATCATATTTTACATAGGTTACAAAAACAGTCCTGTTTACCTAGTTATAGTACTTAAATAAACATCTGTGTTTGCTATAGAGGTATCTTCAGAACCCTGAAAGTCTAACAACCTTGTCTATTTAGAAGAAGGTCCCCCATGAGTACTAACCGTGGGGTAGTTTTAGAGAAGACTTCCACACTCCTTACTCTTCTTCCCAGAAATTACGCATCATCGAAAAAAATTAAGATTATCCATATTCTCCTGTGAAAGTTAGCTTTACAAATTTGTTTTGACTACGAATCTATATTTTCATAGTCCAAAAGACAATAAAAACAGCCTTTAAATCAAAACAATAAAGACTAAATAGCCAATACTATTAACTAGGCTTAGGATCTAAACATAGCCGAAGTCAGAATTAATAATAACAATATGATTATTAAACAAATTATACAATAGTAAGACAATGACCTTTGAATCTATATTGTTACGAGATGAGATTCTCCCACGAAAAGTAGAGCGCTGCATCTAACACTATCGACGATTTCTGCGTTAAAAAACGATGACTATCGAACAAACAAACTATTCGATTTCACTATGCGCGTATTATAATAACAGTAGCCTGTTTATATCGGAGGGTTAAAAGAGGTTTCAGTTACGGCCTCGAAAACCTATCTGTTAATAGAAATAGCCTACTGAAAATAGACCAAAAACAAGTTCCACAATAATGGGTCCAAAATCCAATTGAATAATTTCCTTAAACAAAAATAAACTAAAAATATAAAAAAATAATCACACGTTCATTAATTGATTTTATGGCCAACTTAATTTTAGTATTTGTCCAAGAATTTTTTTAAATATAAGTATGTTGTTAAAAAATATGACGTCACAATACACAAGCTCGTATAAAATTCTCCGAAAAAGTATTGAATTTGACTAGTTAGCAAGTACCCAATTTAAGTCCTGCTTAAAATCAAAAGTATATAACATATTATAACACTTTTATCTAATATCAATAATTGTTATTAGCACTGCTACTGAAACCTCAAGTTACCGTGTACAAGTCATAGTATGCCATTAAGTAAACTATTGAAATGTATGCTCTACCTTGTAAAGAAACTGAAAAACAATGTAAAGATGTTATGTATGTTAGATGTAAACCTCTAAGCGAAATGTACATTAGCAATTGACACCTTGAGAAACTGAATCAATAATAAATAGGTTATTTCACATAGGAACGAGATGTACATGGTAATACTTTATACTATTTTATACAAAGTAATTTTTTTAGTAAAACGTCTAAATGAACACTCACCAACAAACTCAGGTGTCCTGGGCCAGAGTCTGCTGAGATATTATTCATTTTTTAAAGGCAATGTATAGGCATTGGGTAATGTTTCTGTGAATAAACTAATACTGAACTTAACCAGATAAACTCCCAAAAATATTGTGGATCTTAACGATTAAAAAGGGGGATACTGTAATCATAATGCTACATTTTGCACGTTCTTCTAATGCAACATTTTGTTTCAAATAAAAAATTAAACTAAACACTGACTTCCACAGACACAATATGTATTATAATGTTTAATTAAAATACTTGTACAAAATAGCGCCATGAACACAATGCCCAAGCCTGGGAATCCTAATGGGAATTTTTGTACACTTTTGTTCTTTCAAGTGTATATTGACATTAAAGTCTCATAAATGTAGAACCGCGGCGGTTAATTAAATAATTCGGTGCATAAATCTGATTAGTCGGTCTTGACCTCATTTTGGGAACAGACATGATAAATGCTAGGCTATGGTTGCCTGAGATTTTTCTTCGGAGCTATTTTGGCGAATGTCACAATCTCTAGCGTTTGTTTTAATGATAGGTTGTATGTGCAACTGGTGAGCTTACTAAGTTAGCTAAGTTTAATCTAAGATAGTACAGGATGGTAATAATATGACTTTTTAAAAACATTGCATAAAATTGTGTCATAACATATACACCTCTGACTTCAGAGACAAATCTTGTTACTATATGATTATGATAAATATAGCCATATTGTCAGTAGATGAGCATTATTTTAATGTTTGATGTTTTTTCCATGAATGAAAATCATCATTTTATAACAACCTAAGTTAAAAACAATCTAGATATCTATCTAGTCTTGCTCAATCAGTAAACAACGTATTTTAGGCGGTGATGTTTTAAACATATTGAGGTAGGTTATGTTAAATTAATGCAACAAGTATTGAATAACACGGTACACATTTAGACATTCCACAATCTGATTAACATACCTAATTCATTCTAGATTTAACGGTTTACTAGATAATGCCTTTATATGACCACGGCAGAAAAGCATGTCTTATGTAATATCCGATAAATACTAAAATTTAAGTATTTTAGACTTTCTTTAAACAAATTTAGTAAATATTATGATAATATTATGCATGCGTAACAAAATCGATGCAGAGCTTCAAAATTGAATGGATAACTGTATTTTAAATACTTTCATATGTGTTAAAATACTTATATTCGTTAAATTTAGTAGCAGTAAATTTTTTTTTCAAATATTAAAATAACCGCTTTTTACTAGATGCACATAGGTACAAAAATAAGATTTTTTTACAAATTTTGTCTGTCTGTCTGTATTGGCTAATCTCTGGAATAGCTGGAACGATTTTGCAAGATTTTATTGGCAGGTAGCTGGTGTACTAAGGAGTAAATTAGGCTACTACTTATTTTGAAAAATTGAAACAAAAAACAGTTATGTACCAAAATTCATATTCTATGCAGACGAAGTCGCGGGCAATAGGTAATCTATTAATAAAAATACTTCATGTATGTAATGTTTGAGATTAAACAAAATGATCTCAAATTAGATATATGATTTAGCTTGAAATCAGAAATGAAAACTAACCATTTCCATTACTCAAGAATTTAGTAAAAGCATTTATTAGATTACAATAAAACTTATCGCCACGGTGAACGCGTATTTAGGTCTAGATCAAGCAGAGAAGCCATTTATAATCCGAACGAGCGTTTATTGTTAGGGGATACAAAGAAATTGCTAAACTTGAGATAAAGATCGCCTTGCAGTTATGAAATCTCACGCACAATATGATTGTGTAGCTGATAAACGATTGTTTCACCAAAATGCTCGCTATTGATGCATTTTAATAGCACTAAACCGAGCTGTTTGTTCTATTGTCAGCCTTTTTCAGTTCAATTTAATCATTGATGTTTGATAAATGTTTACGAATTAGTCAATTCAAAAACAGTTAATGTTATTAAATCATTTCATACCAAAAATCATCATCTTCTCCCGATTCTATCTGTATGGAAATATTGAAAAATACATGCAGTAAGATTCAAGCCAAATAAATGTTTGTGCACAGAAATTATTCAATTGGAAACTCATCGCGGAGGGGTTGGATCGTCCGGCACGCAACCGATTTGTAACACGCCAACGTCTCCGGCGCACTTTCCCACCCACCGCCATTTTACTTTCAAACGCATACTGAAATATCCACAATTTTTTTTCGCAAAATACAATTCTAATGAATCGTCGCTGAGCGTTAATTAATGTGTGTGCGTTTGATTGGTAGCTTCATGTTTATTTAAAGATCATTGTTCGCTTTCCAGGTGACGAGAGACGGAAGTTGTGTCGAAAATGAAGATCACTTCAAACCAACACCGATCCCGCTCAGCGACTGGCCAAGCGACAAGCAGGAGGTGGCAGGAACGCTGCAGGAGATCATCAAGACTGAGGCGCCTCAGATAGCGGAGCCCGCACATTATTGGGAAGATGCGTTAAGGCACAGCGTGTACCTCACCCTTGTTAGAGACAAAATTGACAAGCTAATCGCACAGGGTGACTACATATCGCCAACTAACAAACCAGAAAACCAGATGGCGAAAGACATAGATGACCACGACCTTTGGGAGAAAATTAAAACAGCTCGCTTTGAAAGATTAAAGGAGGAACCTATCCCTCCCGCCGAAGTAGTCTTGTTATCAAAAGGTAGATTGGTAGAAGATAAAGATGGTTACAAGTTTATAGAAGATAATGTGTTGTGGAAGAACTGTAGTGATAGTGATTGCTCAAAAGATGTCAAAGCGTATTGGTCAGTAAAGCGGATGAGGCAAAGTGATGGGAGGTCTGGGAAATACACTTACGAACTAACATTTTCAGTGACGTCACAAACGAATAAAAAAGTGAAAAAGCCTTATGAAAACCCAGTAAGAACTTTTACTATTAAGGAAAATGCACCAACCGAACGGCCGCAAGCGCGAAATCAAGAAATGGGAGGCAACCGTAACTCGGGGAGACCTCAACGTGCTATATGGGTTCATAGAAACATAAATCCTGCCATAAGACGTCCACAAACATACGGCCGCGGCTTGGACAGATTATTTTCATCTTTGTTCTCTGATGAAGATAGTTACGAGGATTTACCTTTGTTCAGGCATAAGACCAAGACACAGAAAACGTACTTGCCTAATTTGTACCCACAGCACTCAAAAGTCGGCTTTTTGGATGACAGGGAACTTTTTCACCAAAAGAAACTGTCTTATCCTTTACCATATACGAGATTCACGCACCCGCCGATCCCACCACCGGCGGTGCCGTACGTTCAGCACCCGTACACAGATACTAGCGTACTTCCGTATGTCCCACCTCACCCGGACAATAGACATGTCCCGTCTAACATAGTTAAGACAACTAGACCCGCAGTACTGCCGACACCGATCACTAATCACCCGCTACACAAAGAACCAACTATTGAATTTCCTGTTAAGACTAAGTTCAATACTACCGAATACACAACGAAAGTACCGGATTTAGTAACGACTTTTAAAATGTATACTAACCCAAAACCGTCTCCAGTAAAGATAAGTTACGTAACAGATCACATCAGGCCACCCGTTTATAGCGCGCCGCCCGGTGTTTTCGTTACCATGGACAAGAAACCCTTCAAACCGATGCCTCCGCTAAAGTATAATCATTCAAACAAACCATCAAAACATACACTTCCAGATTTCCGTCCAAGCCCCCAAGTACTAGATACTCAATTCTCCGACCTTGATTTGTCAGTTGACTCCGCCTTTAGACCAATAAACTTGAATTACACTGATTTTGAATATCACGACGTTGGTAGTAAGAGTAACAAGAATGTACGAAAACCGAACGCAGGAAAGAGACCACCGAAAAAGCATGAACATATAAAACTTGGTCGCCTGACCACGGTGTCACCAGACATAATAACTGCTCAAAGTCTGACAATGGAAGATACTTCGTTAGAGTGGGCTAATATTTTAGGAGCTTTCACTAAAACCACTCCAATGGCATCGCAAAGAGAAAAGAGTACTAAGGTAAATAGCGAAGCTATTACGACAACAACACCATTGTCGACAACATTAAGCGAAGAAAGTTTGGAAGACGTTGAGGATTCTGTAGAAGAGGTGAGTCCGTCAACAAGCACAACAACTACCACCACCACTACAACGACACCCGCCCCTAAACCTAAGAAGCGTACACGTCCGCCACCAAAGTTCAACAAACAAGAAAAAATTAAAAAACATAAACGCATCACCACAACAACAACAACCACAACGACGACGACGACAGCTAAGCCAACACGAACGTTTCCTATTAAGAAACCATCAGATGACTTGACACCCCAAGCGAGCTCTGCCGCAAGCAGCGGGACAAATTCTATTCGCGACATCAAAGTACATAAGGCACAAAGTACAACAAGTACATCAAGTCCAACTACATCCAGCTCGACGCCGCGAACTACGACAACCGCTAAACTGGCTACAACCAGTGTTACAACCACATCTACTACGACATCATCGAGCACCGCCGTGGACACCGAACAGCCGGTTGTGACCACGCAACCGAAGAGTAAAAACCGTTTCAGACAATCCACATTGATGCAAAAGGGCACATCGGTGAATCACGACAAATGGTCAGCAAGTACATCTCTCGATAGAAATCGAACGAGTCAATCACCCCTTCAAAATCCAGCAAGAAGAAAAGCTTCTAAATTCCAAGGATACATTCCTGCGAGCACTCCTAGAAACCCAGATGTTGATAAGAAAAAAGATGATCACAAGGATTATGGCTTTGTTAATCCGAAAAGCCTTACACAGACCAGCTCCACCACAGAACAAACAGAGCAAGATATTGAATTTACAATGAAACAAACCATTCCAGGTACGTACGAAGATCAAGAATATACCAATGATGATGATTTAGAAAATTTGACAGATCAAACAGCACCAAAAGATGATGCTGAATACATCTTTTCCACTGCGGCCATAACCAAAGAAACCAAATCAGATGATGGTGATAGAGATGAAGACGATGATTATGATAATAATATAGAATATCAATCAACAACCACTGAAAATACAGTTGTTGCATCACCATATTCCGTACCAAAGAATAAAACAAAATGCAAAAAGAAGAAACATTATAACCTTACAACTACCGAAGGAGCTTTACAATCATCAAGTGAAACAGTGAAGAGCCCTGAGAAATTCACGATGACTACTACCCCCAGTACAACAGAGAGGTCAGCAACACAAGATATACTGACAGATCTGTTTGGAGGGTTTACAATGGATGACGAGATTGATGCATTTACTACAGAACGTTTAATTACAACACAGGAGGAACAGAAACAAAGTCAAAGCGAGAAACATGAACAATATGTCACGCTCGACGACGACCTTGAAGAGTTCCTGTATTCCCTAGAAGACAAAAATAAAGAAGACAAAAATATCAATATTTCAGACGAATATGAGGAGGAAGACAAAGATTCGCCATTTAACAATGACGAAGACAATTTAGATAATAGTGAGGATTATTATGAAGAACCCCGAGAAGGTAAAGACCGGCCATTCAGCTTACTAGAACTAATGGCTATGGAATAGACTGAATGTTGTCTTAAACTTAATACTCATACTCAGTGCTGTAGCTTTAAATGCAGTCTGTCATTGATCTCTGAGCACTGGCAGTGACCAATGAAAGCTATTTATTAAATGTGGAGTGTTATGATACAAATAATTTAGAAGCATTTACTGCCAAGAAGACTAACTGGAAACTCTTTTTCTCGAGAAGTAAAAGCAGAAACTTCCTAAATTGTAAAAAAAATACCAATATTGTTTTCGACAATAAGATTTTTCAGTTTGGTATGGCTATCAAAAATGAAAGTTCTAGAACTTGCACGAATCCTATGTCCTGTATTACTGGAATGTAAATATTTAAGTTCGATAAGTTAAAATTAAGTTTAATAATATTTTTGTATAATATATTTTTTATAAATATGTTTATTTTGATTGTTTTTCTTACCTGCTCCTTCCATGGAGTACTTGTAAATAGGTTCCGGTTTCAGAGGAACAAATGCTGCAAATGATTCTGGGACCATTTCCTTTATTCTTTGATGGTATGACAACCTATAAGAAGAAAGAAGAAAAATATAGTTGTAGCTCAATGCCAAGTTTTATAACTCTTAGGAATGATTGACTTGGAAAATAATACATTTTCACTCAACATTAGCCACTTTCTCTTACTATGTATCTAATAAATTAATACAAACTCAAGTCATACCTCAAACATTTTCCAAGGACTTCCCTAACAAATCTAGGTTTAGGATGGTCCATGTCTAGCTGGGTGCATGCCTCCCAGTCCTCCCACGACCAACGGTATTGGAAGTTACTCAAGTGGTACGAGAACCAGTTGACAAATCTGAAAATAGAAATATTTAATCAAATAATATTTTGACTCAAGAAATATGTTTTAGGTGCAGTTGTAGCAAATCGTGTGTAAGTTAACAGGTAAATAATTTTGTGTAACTGAGAATTCACTTTACTTATCAATTTTAACCACAAAACTAATTAAGTTCTAATAAAAACAACTTGTGGACATCACAGTCAATCCTAAACACATTGTTCTAATTAGATAAACATCCTTATAATTATGTCAACTCACCTATCAAAGCACGCAACATTCATTGTATCAATTCTCATAAACAATATTTCTGTAGCCTGGGCCAACACTTGTGGCATTGTAGAAGGCTGAAGCTTACAGAGTTCTATTAGGATAGATCCATAACAAATCTCCAAGTATCTAGGTCTTGGTAGGTTGAACAATTCAGCGAAGATTATCTCTACAATACAGTATTCTAGAGGAATCTTCGCCTTGTAAGGAAAACAGAGAAGCTGTGCTGCACATTCCTTGCGTTCCAAATGATACGCTTCCAGTATGTTATGAAGGTGTTCTTCAATGAGGAATCTCTCAATAGAATGTGCTCCTGGCAACACCGGGCCATCGGGACAGTCCGTGTAGTCAAACATACGGAATATTACCCTCGGCATAGGGTATGTATCTGTGTCATTGTGAGGTGGAGGCTGGAAACAGATAAACATAAATAAGTTATGCATCCTTAAATAGTAAGTCATAATAGTAGGAGTACTACACATAATACAAATGCAATATCTATTATGAATTTATGATATTAACAGGTGAACAATACAAACAATCCTAAGATTCAAACATACATAAATTACAAAAAATCCAACAAGAAAATTAATCAAACCACAAATGTTTTCATAGATGTTGTTTTTAAAATCATTAACTTATTGTAAAATATTGAAAATATCTAACCTGGATAGCTGGAAGTGTGTGTTGTAGGGCTTCACACAAAATTGAGTCAAAGGCAAGGTAAGGCCTTGGGATGTGTTTCTCTGACCAGTTATCTTGTTTCAACTTCTTTATTTGAGCCCACAGACAATCTAAATACTCCTCCTGCAGATGGGGAGTGTCAGTGGACCATACTTTAAGAGCAGGCCAGTGTTTCTTACTGCGCTTGTTCAAGAATATGTCAATAGTAGTTAACAAGTGATCTAGTTGAGATTCCTTCTTCTCATAGAGTTCTCTGCCCACCCAGGGCAGTGCAGACAGCACAGCAAACACAAACCAATCCCTCCTTACTTGTGGCACTCCATCCTCATTAGCACAGTCCACTAATGTCTCCAGCAATGTCAACAGGGAGGAAGCTGCCAGCACATGGCAGTTCACCAAATCAGCTATAAACCTGAGACAGTACCTCGCGGCATTCCATTTGCCAGTCTTCAAGTTTTCCTTAAATGTTTTAACTATGTAGTCAACAAATTCACCACCAAAGTTATAGTTCTTGGCGTTCAGAAGACCAACTAACGTAGCGTATATGGTGCATTTCTCCGGCATGCGGATAGCACAGTCAGTGAGGATACGTAAGATTTTCACTCTGAACGTACTCAAATCTGCTTCTAGGACACTTGCCAGACCTTCCAAATTACTCTCTAAGCTTGAGCTGCTTTTCTCTCCAACTCTCAGAATCAGAGACTCAAGCCTATCTTCAATCTCCTGGTTCTCTGATACTCGACGTCTTTTGCGATTGAGACGCTCTATAACAAAAGTTACGAAGGGTCATCAAACCGATAGTCTAACCTACAAAATATCAAAGAAAAATATTTTTTCTTGCTTACCGTATCCGTCTTCATCATCATGGGGCCTTCTACGATTCATTTTTAGAAATTAAAACTCACGAGAAATATTTCTAAAGCAGTATTTTGATCAGTATTAATTAAATTGAATTAGAAACGCCAACAAACAAGTCAGTGAACGACGACGACGATTGATATCGAATTTGACACTAGAGTGGAAAACTCTAGTGTCCGGTTTGCTGTCAATACTACCGATAAACATGTTCGGACTACTTAGTCGATTATTGATTGATATGATTAATCCCAAAAATCAGTGATAATAAGAGAAAATAATTTAAGTGTGTCGTAATATTATCAGATCACTAATGTTAAAAGCACTTCTTAATTCTACGAAGTCTCAGTAATACTAAGGAGGTGCGAATCACAACCCAACTCTATGCGCGAAACGCATAAATTATAAACCAGAATGTCAAAATGAAACAAATAAAAAATGTCAAATCAAAATGCTCTGTGGTTAAAATGTTTGTTTTGTAATCTAATCTAAACTGAACAATTAAATATTTACAATTAAAATATTTATGTTTTAATCAGACAGAATGTCTTGCAATTACGCCGACGGATTATCTCCGTATGAAAATAAAGGAATCCTAGGAGTTCCAGAGGTATGTAAAAGACAGGATGGTAATTAGCATTTTTATTTAGATCAATTTTATGATTAAATCGAATAATTTAATAATTGTATGTAAATTTTAATTCACAGAAATTCGACTCGTTGGATAAGTTTAACAAAAAATGTGAACTTTTAGCTCAATTAATAGATCAAGCAAAACATGTGGTAGTACATACTGGGGCCGGCATCAGTACTTCAGCAGGAATACCAGATTTTAGGTAAATAAGGTGTTTATTAAATTACAAATGCAGTTTCATTCATGAAAATATGAAATTTAACTTAAAACTGTTTTTTAAACCATGATTGCTGCATATAATGTAAGTTGTATAATTATTGAGATTTACAATCATTGAGACCTTCTTAATCTTAAATGTCTATCTAAATCATAGATTTTTCTAACATGTACCTATTACAAAACATTCCAGAGGCCCCAATGGAGTATGGACCTTAGAAAAAGAAGGCAAAAAACCAGCAACAAACATTTCCTTTACCGATGCAGTGCCAACAAAGACGCACATGATTCTCAAGAAGCTAGTAGAATGTAACAAAGTACATTACATAGTCAGCCAGAACATTGATGGCTTGCATCTAAAGTCTGGACTCTCTAGGAAGCATCTGGCCGAGTTACATGGCAATATGTTCATTGATGAATGTAATTTGTGTAAAAGGTTTGTCAATTTTTAAAGTATAATTGACTTTAAATGCCAGTGTGTAAGATTCAGTATTTCCTAGGATGAAAGCTTACATTTTTGTTCAGTATTTATCTTGTAAATATTTTTATAACAACAACACAAAGTCTGTTGTGGTAAGTCTGCTGTTGTTTTATGTGCAATTACTCAACCAACTTTGCAGTCATAAAATCACTATTGACTGCCTCCTCAGCCAAGTGGTCGCGTGTGCAACTGCTAGGCAATTTCAATTACCGCATCGGGCAAAGTAATACTGGATTTTAAAAAATTATATATATGGCATATGGCAATAATAGGCTTATAATAGGCTTACATGGGACTCTAAAATAAATAGTGAAAAATGGGTGTTACATTGTACATTGGCATTAAGTGCCGTATATAATACCTTTTCTCATCTTCCAGGCAATTTGTGCGAAGTAGTCCGGTAGAGACAGTGGGCAAGAAGTGCAGTGGAGTACCATGTGCAGCGGAACATGTGACAGGCAGACCGTGCAGGGGACGACTGTATGATGGAGTACTGGACTGGGAACATAGTCTTCCAGAGAATGATCTCACTATGGCAGAATGGCATTCTAGGTGATTTTATTTTTTAACTAAAATTTTTGTATGTAAATGTAGTTTGATGAAGTGAGAAGAACAGATGCCATTTCATTTTCACTTAACACCGTTATTAAGAGAACTAACTACTTCCGCGCGGTTTCACTTGCTCTGCTCGGCTCCTATTAATCGTAGCGTGATATTTTATAACCTTCCTCGATAAATGGGCTATCCAACACAGAAATCATTTTTCAAATCGGACCAGTAGTTTCGGAGATTAGCGCGTTCAAACAAACAAACAAAAAAACAAACTCTTCAGCTTTATAATATTAGTATAGATATCGAATTAAATTATTATACAGCACAATCTCTATCTAAAGGAGTTACTGCAAACAGTTTCTTCATGCCTTTTCTAACTTAGTGTTTTTTGTGTTTCAGTATTGCCGACTTGAGTATATGTTTAGGAACAACTCTTCAAATTATACCCAGTGGTAACTTGCCTTTAGAGACAGTGAAGTATGATGGGAAACTAGTCATTTGTAATTTACAGCCTACAAAACATGTAAGTACTCTACTATTATCAATTTTGGGAATCTTTCTATTTTTGTATTATAGAAGAATCAGCTTCCTTATCTGTATTGAAGCCTCAAGGCCCGAGTGAATAGGTTGCTTATGGGACTACGCGCTCTATCCAAGACCGCATCATCGCTTACCACCAGGCGGAATAGTGGCCAAACGTCGGCACGTCGGCACATCAAATATAAAAAAAGAGTGTAGAAGAAACGCGGTGCTCGCGCGGCCCTGAATTTTATACACCGTCCCGCGCGCCGCCGCCTATAATTGATGACCATAATAATTCGCCAACAGGTTTCTCATATGATCTTGAATAATACTTTAACTTATCATGTTCTGTTCTCAATGGAGGCTACCATGAAGCTCTCGTTTTTCTCCCAATAGTAAATTAGGTAGTGTCACCACCATTAGACTCGAATATTTGACAGTTGCAATGATTGAACAAAAAACCTCTTGCCACTTTCGCGCCATCTGGTACCAAAAATGGTAGCTCCTATTAATTAAGAAACCATTTCTTTCCAGGATAACAAAGCAGATCTTATAATCAACTACTATGTAGATGATGTACTAGAAAAAGTTATGAACATACTCAACATAGATATACCAACTTACAATGAAAATGACAACCCTATAAAAAGGGCTGACACAGCAATCATAGACTGGACAATCGATAGACGCGATGTCCTAGCCCTAGAAAAAAAATTCAAAGCAAAATGCAAAGGGGTAAAGAAAAAAAGGATTTTAATTAAAAATAAACGTAACAGTACTGAGATTAACGCGGAAAATGGTGTCAGTGATGATAAATCAAAGATAATTAAGTTAGAAATTAAGGAAGAGCAAAATGGTGATTTAGAAGATAAGCCTGAAGCAGATGTAAGTGTAAATGGCCAGTGACCCCAGTGCTGGTGGTGAATAAAAAAAATATGAACCAATACGAAACTACTTGGTTTACATAATATAGTCTGTGGACAAATAAAGACAGGACAAAAATGTAAATCTGTTAGATATATAAGTGTAAATTCACAAAGAATGTTAAATATTAACGATATTTGATTATTTTTACAATGAAGGATGGATTTTCTTATTTGAATTAGAATTCAAGCATGTTTTACTCAAACCAATTTATCAATACTTAAGTACAAAGTCATTCCACAATGTATTACTTATTTTTAATGTTGATACAAATACAATGAATCCTGAAGTGAACAAAATGTATGTATGAACAATGCCTATAATACTACCAATTTATTATTTTTGTAAGAAATGAAACACTGATTGTAATAAAATAAATAATTTATTTATAAAAATATCCTTTTTCTTATTTACAAAATAATGTAAGTCTTTGGTAATATAGGAATGTATTAAAATCTCAACAATATTTACAAAAAGAATTTTATATGTATAAGAAATACTAATACAATGTCATTATTTCCTCATATTCGTATAAAAATATAAAAATATCTACATTATAATCCCAATAAAAATACGTAAATTTTATTTCAATAAATATCACCATAATAATATACTTACACAAATTTCTCAGAATAAAATTAAATACAGACTCCATTTTTTTCACAATGAAGCTAGACTATGTTTAGAAAAATAGAATAGTAACACAGAACACAGAGGGGCACTGGCACATATCTTTAAAAAAAAACCTATTTTTTTTAAGTAACTCTGCCTCACTTTAGCATAATATCCAGGTAGCTTGAAATGAAATTAGGGTAACTAATGGCAATATTAAGTTGTCTACTTGATCTATTTTCGCTTCTACTATTCCTGACACTCCTGCCGCAACCGCTACACGAAGCATAGCATTATTCACGCTCATTAGACCTGCAAATTAATTCATTTTATTATTAGAAATTAAAATATAATTAAAAGACTGTAGGTAATTTTATTTCATACAAGATTCCAACAAGAATACCAGCTTTAAATCAGTTCACAAAACTGGCAGAATATGAGTTATTATTATCATCATCAGTCGAAAAACGAAGAAGACAAAGATGTCAAGATGTCATCGGTCCACGTAGCAGGAGGCCTTCACAGGGTCTAAAATAGTACCTGGTGTTTCGCAATAGGGTTTTCCTATACAATGGGGCTTAGACAGAAATTGGTCTAGTATTAATAATAGTCTAACTTACCAAACAGTTCAATCACGTACATCAGCGCAACTTGAGATAGAATATTGAATACTGTCCCTTCATAAGTTTTCGGTCCAGCTGAAATTAAAATACTTTTTAAGACATTTAACAACAGAACTTAAACACAAAATAAAGAGTCAAACTAATAACATAACATCACGCCTTTTTATCCCCGAAGGGGTAGGCAGAGGTGCACATTTCGGCACTTAATGTCACTGTACAATGTAACACCCACTTTTCACTATTTATGTTATGAGTCCCATGTAATAGGGGGTGAGCCTATTGCCATATACCGGGCACATTTTTCCAGACTCCGTGCTACTACTACTGAGATTTTTAAAAACCCCGTAATACTTTGCCCGACCCGGGAATCGAACCCGAGACCCCTTGCCCGGCAGTCGCACTTGCGACCACTCGGCCAATGAGGCAGTCAAAATAATAATTGAGTTAAAATAGTTAAAAAAATCTCTCATCTCGTTGGGAAAGTGAAAAAGCGATTGCCAAAGAGTATAATGTAATATTTAGCGTTTTTAACTCAGTAGTTACATGAAGAACTTACTTCCCCACTGGTTCATGCCGAACTTAGAACCAAACCAACTGGCAGCAGTATCTCCGATTCCTATGGACAACACTCCACTAAGCAGTTCGAGCTCATACCCTTGATGTACTGGAACCAATATTAGGGGACAGGCCAACCCTACGTATAGGTAGATAGGAGTCATTGCGAAACTGCCAACATCCTGGAAAAAATTGTCAAAAAATATAATAATTTTGTATTCGGCGTGGCGTTATAAGAGGGTTCATAAGTGGACGTTGAACTGATGATGATTTTTTTCGCAAATCCGATGCACATATCCTCTAAATAATATATCCTCTCATTACAATAGTATAAAAATAAAATAGACTCTGGGTCATTCTATTTCCGACTTTATTTCAAAGTCAAATAAGTTGAAAATCGGTTGAGAAAATAGTAACATACCTTTTCATCACTATACACATTGAATGCAGACTGAAGTGACGATGAAATCGGCTCTATCCCAGATTTCCTAAGTGCCTGAAATAAAAATATTTAACTATTGATTTCGAACATTTCCAGTTTTGAACTGCTGTTAGCAACTACTGACTATTCTTTTAAAAACGTCTACATCCGAGTTATCTCCTTTATTGTAAGTGCGTTTACAAACACAAAGAGTTGCTTCGTGCGGGAATCGAACCGGCGGAGTTGTTGTGCAGGATAACAGGTATGATACTATTTCAAATTACATTACATAATTTTTATACCTCACCTCAAGTAATATAACAAGCCCAAAGCCGAATCCAGCAGCTAATGTCATCAGTCGAATGTTATACAATATCCCAGATAAGAATACCAAGGAGCCAAGTATATGGAATGTCTTGCGAGTAACGGTGCTGGCTTTCACTTTGAGATGAGTGCGGACTAGTATCACACATGCTGATACAACTGCACAACTGAGCCAGAACAGGAATAATAATACCTGGAAGTAAAGTGTTATGTGATCACCAATCAATCAATTATTATTATATGATGGAAACATTCCCTTTCCTAGAATTAGAATAGAAAGTCAAGTGAGGAGATGTCATATTTTCAATTTAAAATTCTCAGCCTATTTTATTGTAAATTATTATGTTTTCGGCGTATTCACGTAGTAATTTGACGAGGAACTCGCGAAATGCTGCTCATGAATATGAGCCTCTAGCATGGCTTGAAACTAGTCGAGTTCCTCGTCGTCCTCGTTCCTATTTAGTATGTCTCAAGTTACAATACAACTATTACCAATAAACATATTACCACTAAAGAAAGTAAATAAGTCTGAATAAATTAAAATGCGTTTAATTGGACTTAGATACCCTCTGCTTCAAACCTAGTTTTGGTATAATATACCTATAATAAACCACTCACTCTATCTGTGTCCAGGATAATATATTCAGCTAATCTCAATATGCAATCAGCTCCGACTTTAACATGTAAGATCATTAAAGCGTAAGTGCCGGCCACACAGGTGATGTAGGTAAGAACGGATATAGTTTTTTGAGTCTCATCCAAAATACATATTGCTGCAACGATAATTCCCACACTTGATAATATAGTCTGAAATGAACAGAAAAGTTGTTTATGCTAGGTAAAGAAGGAATTTATTTTAATGATATAATTAATCCTTACTTCCTTACTTAATATTATCCTTATCCTTACTAATATTATAAATGGGAAAGTGAGTTTGTTTGTTTGTTCCACTATCACGCCGTAACTACTAAACCAATTGTTTTGAATTTTTGCAGACGTAAAGTTAAAAGTCGGGATTAAATAATAGGGTACTTTTTAACCTTTTTAAATTTGATATTCCCGAGGGAAAACAAATGTATTGGTATAGATGTCGCTGTGTGTATTGGTATATGTCACATAGGCTACTTTTTATCCTTTTGTGACGCGAGCGAAGTCGCGAGTAAAAGCTAGTAGAGAAAATAGCGAAAATAAAGGGAAAAAGGTTGTGGTTGTCCAATGTGGTTTCAAATAAATTAGAAGCTGGCGTAATGAAAAGAATTTCCCCTACTTACAACATAAGTTTTTTAGCCACGACATACACCCTTAAACGTCACCTATCAATACACATATTAGATTAACAAATCTTACTTACTACTCATTGTATAACACTAGCTTCTAATAGCGGGTGTGCCCGCGTTCCTCTGGGATGAGAAGTAGCCTATGCATAATTCTAATTCCAGATCATAATCTACTCCTGTTCTAAATATCATTCCTATCTCTTAAACCGCTTTTTTATATTTGATGGGCCGACGTTTGACCAATATCTTGCCTGGTGTGATGTAAGTTATGATGCAGTCTACGATGGAGCACATGCGTCCCATAAGCAACCTATTCACTTGGGCCTTGAAGACACCTAGTTTATAACCTTCAGGAAATACAGACACAGGCAAACAATTCCACTTCTTAGCAGTACGCACAAAGAAGCTTCATGTGATTGAGTAACAAATGTAGACACAAACTTACAAACTTTCGCATTTATGATATAAGAACAGGCTGAAGTGGAGAAATATGCTTTGAAAAGGTAGAATGGACACTGGTGTCTTCGCCTAATCGTCATAACAATTGAATTCATTGAATGATTGCCAATACAAATTCAAGAAGTAAGATTCTATACATATTAAACAAAGATTATAGTTTTAAATGTCTATCACATTTTACAGCAACAACTTGCAGTATTTAAATAATCATTATAATTAATCCTATCGAAGATAATTATATACTTACAAAGATAACGTCATTAATGAATTTCATTTCTACATCGTCTTCTGCTCCCATGTTGTAAAAGTGTTTACCAATGGTTGTTATACTGAACAGCACAATACTCTGTGTGACTATCATGGCTTCTCCTATTGTAAATGTTTTAGGGTACACTATGAGGGCTATTTTCATGAGAGCACTGTATGACATCACTGCAGCCGTTGACCAAACCAGAGAGAACATTAAATCTGAAAACATTTATTTATAATAATTTATGATCTTTATCAGGTTTAAGAAATGAGGATGAGAATACATAACACATAACATCACGCCTTTTATCCCCGAAGGGGTAGGCAGAGGTGTACATTATGCCACCGTACAATGTAACACCCACTTTTCACTATTTATGTTATGAGTCCCATGTAATAGGGGATGAGAATAATACTCGTTATTTACCTTGTCCTTGCACTGCATACAACAATAATGATGAAACCAGTGTAGATGCTGTACATCCTCCATAAATATTCTCTTTCAACACCGAGCAAGAAACAGAAATAAATATAATAAAAAGAAAACTGTAGGATGCTAGTCCAATCGATATATAAGCCAAAAAGATGTATAATTCAGACACATTTTGATTGTAAAGTATTGAATATGATACAAGTACTGCTGGTAAAAGTATACAACTCCATAGTCCATTTGTACTTGAGGGCCTGGAAAAATATATTAAATATTTTATAATTAAATTATAATAATATCTTGTCAAATCATCTTGAATAAATATAAACACCCGGATCTAAAATAATGTTCAAAGTTCAATTTACCTTGTAACAATATTACCGTCTTTTAAATTTTTTGTTATTTGTTCGTCAATAGACACAAGAATACGTAATATTTTTGTATCCATTTGTTTAAATAATCCTTTAATAATTGATGATAGTTTAGATCTGTCCATTATTTTCCTTTAATTTTAATTTTTAAAGCCAAACTATTTCAAAGTTTGTGTTTCATCTTCCAACGTCAACAAAAACGTCAATCGTCAACAAATGATCAATCAAAGTGACATTGATAATTTTAAAACCAGATTTGACAATGACAGTTAGTCAATCTGGTGTTACCAAGAAGAATTTTCAACCTATTTTATTCATAATCGACTAAACGACACAACGGAATGCATAGAGAGGCAGTCGACATTTTCGGTATTTGACGGTTTATTTTACCTATCAGAGTGTCAAAAATGTAAATGATTGTGATTGTGATGTGGATTGTCATTATGTCATTGTCACTGTCAGTCGCGCGGGAACTTGGAATCGTGCCAGTTGTGGGTTTATTACAGAAGTATTTGCACGTATAGTTAAATAAGATGTTGCGGCAAATAAGCAGAAACATTCAGCAAAAGGCGAGATTCGCCACAGCTGTACCGGCACCTCAAACAAAGCCAGAGATTCTTTACACTGGGGTATGTCCAATTATTTAATAAGCAATACATAATATGTATCAACAACAGAAGTATTTGTTCAGAATGTATGTAAATAATTATGATCTGTGTGATAATTTAGTCCAAATAGCTGGATGGAGTAGACGGTAGAGTTTTTACAGAAATGTTTGTTTGTGGAAAATTATTTTAATAGGTATACAAACTATAATTTTATTTTTAAGCTCGTAACACGAGCAAGGTCGAATAGCCGGCTGCCTGCTCCAGTAGCCATATGTTATAGAGATAAGATCTGGTATTATATTTTTTCTATGAATATTAATTATAATAAGTATAATGATTTCCTGGTTTTTTACTGTGCTATATTTATTTATGTATGTATGTACAGTTGTCTCATACCTATAAATGGCACCAATTAGAAACAGTTGACTTGATACCTTCAAATCAAATTAATGTATACATACATTTTTTGGTTTAAATTAAATAGATGATGAAATATTTATTTAGATGATAATTATATATCAATATAAAATTACTGTAGTAAAGAACTGTTCTCTAAGTTAACTTATTTTTATTTATGAAATTGTTTTTTATATTTTTAAGCAATATTATATACCTAATATATTTTAAATTTTACAGTATCTTCATTATTTTAATATGCATCCTTAATCCAAAAATTCAGAATGCAATGCTTGAAATGTTTTTAACCATAAAAGATTTAAAATTATATTTAATAATTTGCTTTACTACATTAGTTCAATATATTAATATTATTCAAACTGTTTTATTCTAGAATTATAAAATTATTAACATAATAAATATTTATAAATACCTATTTGAATCAGTTTTTATTATTCAATATTAAAGTAACAAGAATATATTAACTCGTCGAGTACCGGTTTTATAGACACAATTAAAGAACAATAGGTCGCGGTCACCGGTGACCGCTTGGTGTTTGACAGCAATAAGTAAAACATAAATGTACAAGGATATAATAATTGGAATAATACAGCAAACTTCTATTCTAACTAGTTAACCAGTTTGTTTTTATTCTATTTATTTTAAAAATATAAAAAGTCGTCCCTGCAGTGGGAAGATCACGGCTAAAAAATTAATAACAAAAAAGTATGTAAACGGAATACCCACAAAACACTGACAGGTGATGGACAAAAACAGGTTTTATTTTCATAAAAGTAAGGTATAAAATGGTTCTTTTATGTAATAACTAGCTACAATGCGATTTTACCCCCTCTGCTCCTATTGGTCATAGCATGACGTTTTATTGCCTATAGCCTTACTCAATAAATGGACTATCCAACACAATAAAGAATTTTTCAAATGGGACCAGAAGTACCTGAGATTACCATGTTCAAACAAATAAACTCGTCATCATAATAATAGTAGTAGTATAGTTGTAATCAACTACTCAAGACGATTACATATGTCATATATGACTATATATATATATATAAATCAATTTTTTAATGGTTTTATTTAGCTTACTCCATTTCATTTATTTTTGTCAGCATTTTTTTGAGCATTCCGTTTACACTCAGTATTAGTCGAATTATTTTCAGAAAAATACCTGTCTCTGATATTTTTCATCATATTCCCTTTCATCCAATTACATCTTCCCTGTGAGCATATTATTTACTAAAGCCTCTTATATTTTAGCTGTTCATCAACAATGAATGGGTGAAGTCATCAGATGGAAAGACTTTCAAGACTGAGAACCCCGCCACTGGCCAGCCAATCGCTGATGTACAGCAAGCTGGCAAAGCTGATGTCGACATCGCTGTTAAAGCTGCCAAAGATGCTTTTAAGTAAGTTTCTCATAAACAGAAAAAATCAAATTACAAACTAAAAGTAAGGAAATTACTTTGAGGTATTAGTTTTCTATAGGAATCTTCACAAAAGTGCTACCTGTTATTAAAACTGTTAACAAATGGGCCAGCTCGACCATAGTGATACCAAGGCCTCACAGAAAACTGACGTGAAGCAACGCTTGTTTCGTCATGTGAGTCCTCACACACTTGGTAACCTCTTACCGGAGGCCCAATTACCCCCCAATCTCTCCAATCCTTGAATCCCTAACAATCTTCGAACTCCTAATCCCCGAAAGGCCGGTAACGCACCTGTAACGCCTCTGGCGTTCCAGATGTCCATGGGCGACGCCGATTGCTTACCAACAGGTGATCCGCAGGCTCGATTACCGGCTTATCCCATAAAAAAATGTAAAGAGAAATGTAGAAATTATTATTCCATCTGTCTTTCTCTTTTATTTTCATCAACCGTATCAAGATGTCAGGCTGTATGATTATGTCTAATCAAAATACAGGTATAGAAAATATATTTTTTTTCTAAACAGACTGGGTTCCCCATGGAGAAAAATGGACGCCTCCCAACGTGGTTACCTTCTTAGCAAGCTTGCGGACCTCGTTGAAAGAGACAGGAACTACTTGGCTGTAAGTACCTACCTTATCTTCTCATAACACAGGCACAAACGATATTAGCAAGTGAGCACACAATTTCATTGAATTGAGGGCTAGATACTAGATCATCATCGTCAGCACATGTCCGTCCTTTGCAAGTACTATGCCTCTCCGATAATACGCTATTCTGAACTTGATCTTAATAAATAATTTACGCATAAGATTCATGTTTCGAAAGAAATGGTCTGGCTCGACCGGAATGATTGCCACGACCTCATAGAAAGCCGGTGTGAAACAACGTTTGTGTTGTAGTTCGCCGTGTGACGGAAATTACCAGAGGCCCAATTCTCTTCCCTCTATCCCTTAATCCCCATCCATATCATCAAAAGACCAGATATGCACTCTTGTAAACTCCTCGGGCGTCCATGCGCAGAGCCTTTTGCTTACTATCAGATGATCTATACGTTTTCTCATAATATATACCTGTTATTTGTAGGTAATCATTTGTATAGCATTAGCAATTTAATATGCGAAGCAAATATTGGTATTGGTGCGTTATGGCCTCAAATATTGATTGGATACGAAAATAGCTTCTGTTTAGGGAGGGAGACAGATTTATTAATGTGTCACCCACAGTACTTATAAAGGAGATTGATCAATAACAATACGGGTGCCAACCCGTATTGTTATGGCACCTAAATAGTGAAATACAAACGCCAGAACACTGAAAGACTACTCCATTTTAAGTTGAACTTAAATATCGTGCCATCTCTATTATTTTACAAAGAATTTGTAGTGACAGAACTATACTGAAGCGTGAAGCAAGCAAGTTGAGTGACGTTTGAGTATTTCAGCGGTAGATCAATGTTTTATAAGTAGAGGTTATTTTGATTTTTTTTTATTTGTTTAAAAAAAAACGTTGCCCACGCTAGCATTTTTTCCTGTGTCGTGGGACTCGTGGGTGCGTTTACAAATATACAAGTTCACATACACGTGCTACCCAGACCCGGAACAACAATCTGTGGATCACACAAAGAGTTTTTCCGTGCGGTAATCGAACCCGCGACACGTTACACAGCAGCTAGTTGCCCAGCCATCGCTCCAACCGTGCAGTCAGTAGTCATTTGGTGGTAGCCAGTAGCACTTACGAGGGAATTACAGCCAATTAATGATAATCTAAAATCTCCAATCGAGGTGATGGGCATACTGCTTACCTTACCATTTGATGATCAAATAAAGTGTAGGAACCTATTTCTATATTATTAACTTACAGTTAACTCCCAATTCATTAATCTGAACCGTAATAAGCGAAGTAAATTTTCCTGTCTGCAAATTACACTATTCTTAGAATGCAGTTTCGTTTTGTATGCTGTTTGCAAGTCTTAAGTGCAATAGCCGCCAGGTATTTTCCTTAAAGCATACCTATAAATAAGTAGGTACAGCCTTGACACCAACTTCAAGCTAGTCTGATAAGTTAGTAAAAAGTTCACCGTTTTTATTAAACTTTAGTAAAGCATTATGAATGTATGTTTATAATTTATAAATTCATAATCGATAAGAATATCACTCAATTTTTACCTGTAATGACAAAAAATAAGTTCAATTACAAAAAATAAAGAAGAATTCAAATTCTGCGATTAAAAAAAAACTTCAATTTCTTTTTTATAATAACTATCGTGAGACATACTAAATTAAGGCTGCACGCTACACATGAGGAAGAACCCCTCTGTGGTTCGAAACTAGTAGAGCTTTTCTCAATATATTCACGTGAGTAACCCGCGATTTTTAGTTGATCTTCAATTTCTACTTCAGTTACGATAAATCTTTCTACCACTTCTAGTCTGAGCATTATGAATAGAGAGATAATATTATGTAAGTGGCATATAAACATTTTATGTACTGTTATCTCAGTTTAATATGACCTCTGATAAAAGGGGACTTAACCGATAGTGCTACATTTTGGTATACAAAGTCGAAATTGGACTAAATTGTTCATCTATTCTGTACAGTAACTCTAATAGGTATCTTTAGGTATATTAAAAAAACTTTTTACAAAAATCAAATAATAATGAATGGAGGTGACGAAGATTATGAGACTTATTCCTGAAAAAAATTAAGCAATACTACCTACTTGTCCAATATTTTCAATTAATTTTCTAGATTAGACATATAAAAATATATCTTATTGGTTAATAATACCTAATAGGTATCTACCTAATATCTACCTATACGACTTCAAACTAACATGCACTATCTACCTCTAGTTTCACATCCATATCATAATGACAAACAAATACATCAATTTTCTTATTATTTTGATATCGCTTAGCAGATAAAACGATTAAATATGAATCAAGACTGACTAATTCTGGTCCTCTCCGATAAAATCTCCCGAATACGATAGGAAATAATAGATAAAATATGTAAGGGATCAATCTCTCTGATTAAAATCTACGATGTATCATACATAATAATCATTACATTTTTGCTTCGTCAGCACTGTAAGTCCAAGTCTAGATGTTTTTTTTTTAATATTTCTGGACACCGACGATAGAACGACGAGTCCATAAGAAGCAAGTCTTTACGGCTTATTCATGTGGACTAATGGAAATCGAAATCGTCGAAATCGGCGCTTGAACGCCTTCATGTTTGTCTTCGAAGTCGATCCGTGCCGTTTTGTGGAAATAAACTACTATTAATGGAATAAAGCTCGACTAGTTTCACTGGGACTCATATTCATGAGCATTGAGTGATTGAGCTCTATATTTCTATCGATCAACTATCACAGAAATATTAAAAATGAACTATGATTTATTCATGGAATATATATACGCTGTATTTAAATAGATTTAAAATGTTTAACTAAAGTTATTATTATACAGAAACTAATCTTGTTAAATGTCGCTGTAGTTACCTACCAACCAATCTTGTTATCTTAACCTACAATCTTATCATCTTATGCAGGAATATAATTTTCTATTTAAGCCGAGATGGTTGTTGCTACTCTTGTCGAGTAGCCGGTGCCCGTTCATTCAACTCAAGTTGCACGACTTGTATGCAGTTGTACAATATATATGCATACCTGTAGCTACGCTGTAAATAGCTAATAACGTGTCAAGAACTGCGTTGGTACAGCTGATGTTTAAAGTGTTGAGACGGTTTAGAATGGTTCGCACCTAAATCATTAAGTTAATCTTGCTATCCGAAAAAAATCTACATGCAGTTGTGGCTGCAGCATAAAAAAAGTTCTCTGAATTTGATTTAAGAGATTTTTTTTCTGAGTCGAGAATGTTAGCCATAAGATCTCAAATTATATTTCCACAATAAAATGTATTATAGCGTTTCACTATCTCGTACATTTTATACAACGACAAACGAGTTTCTTCAATAGCTCTTTAAATTCACCTACTTTTAATATGGTTCAAAACAAACATCAACTAGCGCCACCGGTCTATGGAGATTATCAGAATATCCCACCCCCACACACGAAGCGTTTCGACTAAGTTTGTTTTAGAAGCAGTAAGAAGTTTTTTTAGAGTGGAAGTCTTTGCTGGAGTCTGTGTTTTCTAAAATATATTCTCTGTCTTCAAGGCCATAGGGAATATGTTGATTATGGGAAGCCTACTCCAACGTAGGTTTTATCATCGCTTCTCAATTCAGACCTGGCAAGCGTGAGTGCCATGATGAATAAAAAAATCCGCTAACACAAAACCTTCTTTCCCAGAGCCTGGAAACCCTGGACAACGGCAAACCATATACAGCAGCTTACTACGGCGACGTGCAGATGGTGATCAATAACCTGCGTTACTATGCAGGCTGGGCAGACAAGAGCCATGGACTGGTGCTACCCATGGATGGAAACTACTTCGCTTATACTCGTCATGAGCCTGTTGGTATGTGTGTTTAATCTTAACTACTAATATAAAGCTTCTTCTTCTTCTTAGGGTGCTACTTCATTCCTGTAGGTTGGCCGTCAGCTTTTTGAATTGGTCCTTGTCATCGGCCAGGCGGAAAAGTTGTTCCACAGAGCTGATACCGGTTCAGTCCCGAATAGCAATATTCGGGACTGCCGCCACGACTTTTTCCTTCGCCCACCGCTTATCTTCCCTTCCATATTACCCAACATTATAAGATGAAGCAGCATGTATCTGTCATGTCTCAGTACGTGACCAACATATTCTATCTTGCGCTTTTTGATAGTTTGGATCGTTTTGCGTGGCACGTGGACGCGCTGGAGCACGTATCGTCCCTGACCTTTTGCGTCCACCTTATGCGCAAAATCCGACGGTAACACCACACTTCAAACGCCTTTATGCGTCTAATGGTGTCATCTTTTAAGGTTCATGCTTCGCAACCGTAGGTAAATACGTAAGGACAGGCCCATAGATATAATAAAGAATATTTCTGTGGACAGGCCAGACGTAGCACAATAGCATCCGAAAATCCGAACCCGAATCTAATGAGTTTATTTGTTGGGTTGCATGAACATGCTAATCTCCTAGTCTAAAAAAACTTTTGTGTTGGATAGTCCATAATATCGATGAAAACTCTAGTCCATGCGAGTGAGTAGGTACACACATGACCAATACGAATTGGGCAATGCAACGGTTGAAATCGCGCGGTAGTAGCTAATATTTTTTATAAGTGCGAAAATAACTGCACTTGTCTGTTTCTTCTACGCTCAAAATACTGAAGCGATTTGATGTTTATTTTTAGTTTAATTTAGTTGTGGCAGCGTAGATGGTTGCTTCGTATCGACTCAGAATAAATGCAGTTTTCATAAACAAAATGTATCAGATTTTAGGAACATTAGATCACCTCTTTTTACAATTTTTTAGTGCATTCAGTACCTACATTTTCTTGCCTATCTGTTCTCAAAAAGTAAAAAAGAACTAGGAAAAATATGTTGAATGCCCAGAAAATATTAAATTTTCTTCATTTAAAAAACAGGTCCAATAGTCCGATTCCGATAGTAAGATATAACGTGAAATACATGAATACTCATAATATTGTTATTTTCAGCCAGCCTCGACCGTGACCTTGATGAATATGTTCGTTACAATGATAACAAGCGCGTATTATGTCATTTATGGAATAATACAACGTGACCGCGCAAATAATACTTAGGTATATAGCAGTTTTTATTGACTTTGCAAACTTGATATGGCTATTTAGGGTTCCATAGGTGGGCTAGATAAGGGTGTGCTATTTCGGAACCAGTTTTTTTAAATGAATGGAGTAAATAATCCCATTTTAGCATGTCTGACCATACTTCATTCTCCAAAGAAAAGAAGATTCGTTAGGAACGGAATAGAGATGTGCCGTTTGCCGGCAATATTCCCCGAAGTGGAAATTTTTGTGGCAAGATTGTCAGCAATATTTCCGGGAGTGAAATTAACTACGGAAACTATGCGCTATACTTCAAATTAGCATTTAAAGCCCATCGTCTACATTATATAAGGAACTATATTAATATCTGCCACGGCTTTAATGGGAGGTAGTATTGTGTTTCCAGATAACAATAGTGAAGAAATTTCGTACCTTGGACCAGTTAATTCAATTTGAGAACACAAACAAATTAAATAAACATTGTCTCTATTCTGCATAATGTGGTTCACAAATTACGCGATTATTTCGGTTAGTCAATGACAAACAATTGCTATCTTTTTCCACGGGTACAGTGGATGAAAACGGAAATCAGCTGACTAGATCGTCACGATCTAATCTACTATCTACTAGATGCTCAATAGGCAGACTAACAAGTGTTTTAAAAGTACAATTACTTATTTACAACAATTTTACCGTAATTACAGTTATTTACACACCCTCTACCTACTTATCTACAAAACTGTTGCACAAGTCCACCTTCGCGTTGCACACAGATGAAGGCACGCTTCCTAACATGTCTTTTCACTTTATTTAATGTGTCCGTTTCAGTTTTCACTTGCCTAAATGCGCGTTTGATGCGCCTTTTTAATTCTTCCACACTTCTGATGTCATGTCCAGTTTGGCCGTACACAAGGTCCTTTACACGACCCCACAAAAAAAGTCTAGTGGAGTTAAATCCGGCGAGCGCGGAGGCCATGGCACTGGGCCACCTCTGCCTATCCACCGGTCACCGCCGAACCACACACCGTTTAAAAAATCACGCACGTTGAGTGCGAAATGTGGTGGTGCTCCATCATGTTGGAAGAACAGTCCTCTTACCTCTTCAAGAGGAATACGCTCCAACATACTTCTCACATGGATTTGTAATGAGCGCAGATACGTGTCTCCGTCCAGTCTATCCAAAAACTTGATTTAGTAAGTTATTAGTACCTCGTGTGTTCATAAGTTTTGAGACAAATTAAAAGTTGCATATCTTTTTCAATAATAAACTTATATTTATAAAAACAATAACAAACATTAAGTAGATAGTAAGTAAAAATTAAATATAATTATTATTCAAAATGACCACCCCTGTTTTTAATACATGCCCTTAGACGATTTGGCCAGTCATCAATGGCGGCACGAATCTTTTCCAGAGGAATTCGCTTCGCTTCTCGGACAAGAGCTCGCTTAAGTGACTCCAAGTTTGGGTGGGACTTTCGGCAGGCTCTGAGCTCTAATTCGGTCCATAGAGAATAATCCAGCGGGTTGAGGTCGGGGCTGGAGGAGGGCCATTCGTTCGCCGCAATGAAGGCCGGCACATTTTCCTTCAGCCAAGCTTGGGTGGTTTTAGCCTTATGGGATGGCGCCGAGTCTTGCTGGAAAACCCAATACTTGTTATGGAATAGGGTATTAGACAGGGGTTTCACAACAGTCTCTAGAATGTCACATTGAGATCATGTTTCAGTATTCTGTTGACTGAAACGCGCGAAATATTGGTCTGCAGAGCGAGTTTCTTCTGAGTGCGACATGGATTTCGGCGAAGTCGCTCTCGGATGATTTTAATGTTCGCAGGCGTCCTCACAGAGCGTGGACGACCACTTCTTTGCCGATCATGTAAAGAACTTGTCTCCTGGTATCGTTTAATAGTGTAATACACGAAGTTACGGCTCACACCAAAACTTTTCAGTTCTCGGAAAATGTCCATAGGTTTTCTTCCCACCTTAAATAATGAAATGACGGTCGCACGTAATTCTTTTGTTCCCTCCATTACGAGAAAATTTAAATAAAATAATCCGAAATCATAGATATTAAAAGTTAACATTCCAAATTCAAAATTAGAAAAAGAAATATACAGCAGCCAGTAATTTTTATTTTATTTTTATAAGCAAAAAGTTTGTCTCAAAACTTATGAACACAAGAGGTATAATGCGTCAAGCGTGTCTTTGCATTGTTCTTACATATGCGTACAGTATTGAAATATGTATCAGAGACATTGTAGAACATACTTTTTTTAAAAGAGTAACGAATGGAGTTTCTTGCTCGTTCTTCTCCATTCGAATCTAATTTTTGGAATGAGCACCTAGCTTCACCTAGTTTCACTGACGGACTGACTGACTATTATTTATTTTGTATTTGTTGACGTTTCAAAAGTACCAAACTATGGTTTAATTGAAATAAATGCTTTGACTTGACTTTGAATAGTTTATATCACTAAAACCTTACGGGAATGGGCATTGTACTGGTAAAATTTATTTATTTTTATTATTTATTTAATTTCGGAATTATTTAATTTTTGAAACCACGATAAATTCATTTGACAATAAATCTCACTTAGGCACGGAATCGATTCTGAGGAATTCTGCTAGAAGTCATTACTCTACTCGGACGAAGTCGCGGGCAACAGCTAGTATTTTTAATACACATGTTTCGATAAACCTTACAAAACAAAACAGTCCGGCAATATTGCCAATGTTGATATTTTACCAGCAGCGGCAATATTGGGAATATTGCCAGCAGTGGTAATATTGCTATGAGGCACATTACTAGAACGGAATAAGCTAGTCCGAAAAAATACCTAAAAATCTTTAAAAAAATCCGACAAAATTAAGTTTTTGTCGTATTTCAATTTTTATAAACAATTTGTATCTGCAAAATAAAATTAGATACCTATCTACCTTCATATAGGTACTTAAATATCATTTGTTTGAACATCGATCGAGTAAGTAAACAATGATTTTGATAAGGTGAAGCGTGAAGCGTCCAGTGCAAGATTGCCGTATCATGTCAGATAATTTAATTTGTAGATTGTTGTTAAATGATTACTTGTCAGCATTATTGTCAGCCCATCATGTTGATCTTATTGATTTCTTTAAAAAACTTTTGATTTGTCATTCTATTCACATGCTCATGTATTATTCACTAAAACGGGTGGTGTGTATTTATTTGGTTATGAAACGAAAATTCTTTATCTACATATTTATAACTACAGCGTTGTCTGTTATATTGTTTGTCTAGTCATCTAGTGTTAGCAAACACAGCTTTCTTATGGGATAAGCTGGTAAACGAGCAAACGGATCACCTGATGGTAAGCAATTGGCGCCGCCCATGGACACCTAAAACAAGTGTGTTAGCGGCCTTTTGGGATTTGGGAATTTAAGGATAGTGGGGGATTCGGGGATTGGGGAGACTGGGGAGGGAGGTAATTGGGCTTCCGGTAACCTCAATAAAAAACACTCAATCGCCAAAACACAACGCAAGCAGAATGTTTCACGTTGGTTTACTGTGAGCCCGTGGTATCACTCCAGTCGAGCCCATTTGTGCCGAAGCTTGGGATATCCCACACTTATTAGCACTATAGTATTCAAGTTCTTAGTACCTATAGAGTTCAACTCAAGCAAAGCATTATTAAACCTACATAACATCACGCCTTTTTATCCCCGAAGGGGGTAGGCAGAGGTGCACATTTCGAGAAAAATGGTTTTTAACAGCGTAGGTATTAACTTTTTACCAAATAGGTATCAGTCAATAAGATACCTCGGTTTTTAATAAAGCGCTCTCGGCTTTTGTCCAGAAATTATAAAAAAGCTGTCAAAACATATTACACACGAATATTACATTGTTCTCATCATAAAAAGTTGATATCACGTTTTGTTCCCAGGTGTATGCGGTCAGATTATTCCATGGAACTTCCCATTGTTGATGGCATCATGGAAGCTGGGCCCCGCACTGGCGGCCGGCTGTACCGTCGTCATGAAGCCCGCTGAGCAGACGCCACTCACTGCACTCTACCTCGCACAACTTGTCAAGGTGAGGAATTAAATAGCTGGCTTTTAAAATGACGATGACGAAAATTAATTCTTGTAAGCTACATGCGAGTCGCTGCAATAATTCCCTTACCTCAACAGACATCACCAGGTCATTACGATTTTTTTTTAGTTATCATTAACAAAATGTTTCCCGCGTTTAATCTCTTATCTGATGCTAAATAAGTCACAAAAAAATACTTTAAGAGTTACTAAATTATATTTTTCTTAAAGAATTATATATTTTAATATTGTTTAACTCGTCGAGTACCGTATTTATAGACACAATTAAAGAACAATAAGTTGCGGTACCGGTGGCCGCTTGGTGTTTGACAGTTTAATACTAAAATGCTATTATATGTACCTACAGGAGGCCGGATTCCCAGAGGGTGTTGTGAACATGTTGCCTGGATTCGGAGACGCGGGCGCAGCTCTAGTCGACCATCCTGATATCGACAAAATCGCTTTCACCGGTAAATACTATTATTAAATTGTTGTAAACTTGTGATGGGACTAATTAGACAAGCAGGAGGTCTGTCTTCTATTATACAGTTGTGCAAAGATAGTATTAAGATTTTGAGCTTTATAATATTAACAGCACAAAGTATGATATCTTGCCCGGAGTATTGCAAAATGTATGCATTTTTTCCCACATAGTGGGCGAAAACTGTCTGTTAGATTCAATGTATATATAATATTGCTAGATTTATTTGCACATGCAAATGAAGATACAATATTTTCTCTAATTTTGAAAGGTGTCTTACCGAAAGCAGACTACTGTTCAATTTATTCAATATCAATTACAAATGTCAATAATTTGTTTAGCATATCACACAAACACACACACCACACACACACACACACACACACACACACCCTCACACACCCTCACACACACACACACACACACACACACACACACACATATCCAACGAGATGACGCTGCAAATAATAGTATTTGTTTATCGTCATTTAGCAAGTTTATACAAGGTATATGCATAAACATAATATTGTCACACCGATATCATTTTTATTGCATGCGTTTATGTAATGCATTCGCTTTTCAATATTTATTTATTTCAATGCGTCATGTACAATCATGTAGGTACTTAACGCTTTAGGCATTTAATAGGATATTCAATATATGTATAAAATGTATCAAGTATTGTCACAATTTCATGAAACTTTCTTCTTCTTTTCTTTTTTTTAAAAACCTTGCCCCACTCTAGGATTTTCTCCTGTGCGTTTACAAACATACAAGTTCACATACACATAACACCCAGTCCCGAAACAACAATTTGTGGATCACACAAAGTGTTGTTCCGTGCGGGAATCGAAGAAGCGACACGTTACACGGCGCCGGTTGCCCAGCCACCGCACCAACCGTGCAGTCGTCACAACTATAAGCCCTGCCTGTCCAACAACACACATTTCTAAAAATGCTACAAAACAGTAGCCGTGTACTTTAATCCCAAAAGACCGGCAATGTACATGTCCTCTACTGTTGCAAATTTCAATTGGCTACGCTAATCACTATTGCATAAAAAATTACACAATTCAATTCTAATAATATCTATCTTTTCCTCCTAGGTTCGACGGAGGTAGGCAAATTGATCCAGCGTAACTCAGCGGGTACAGTGAAGCGCATCACGTTGGAGCTCGGCGGGAAGTCTCCCAACATTATATTCGCAGACACAGACCTCGAGCGAGCTGTGGAAGTTGCTCACTTCGCACTGTTCTTCAATATGGGCCAGTGCTGCTGTGCTGGTATGTAGACCCTTCTTGAATATGTTAGTTTAGTTACATGGACAGTTTTAAATGAAACTAGCCAGATACAAGTATCTACTACAAGTGACCTCTGTTTCAAATGTATTTCGGCCTTTTTTACCGACTTCAAAAAAAGGAGGAGGTACTATGTTCGGCTGATTGTTTTTTTTTTTTTTTGTTTGTTCTCGCAGTACTCCGCCGTTTGTGGACCGATTTCGAAAATTTTTGTTTCGTTTGAAAGGGTATACTCCCGAGATGGTCCCATTTCCATGAAGTCAGGATCTGATGATGGGATCCTAGGGAAACCGAGGGGAACTTTCGAAAATTCTATGGGGGAGTAATGCGTCTATTATGTTTTTCAATTACGAATTTTAAACACTACAATTTAATAAGGGTCTGGAGTCGACCTGATGATGGAGCCGACAGACAGTCGAGGGAACTCCTCAGTGGTTTATATTAACTACCTTGTGTTTGGGCTTAATTAATTTGTATTGATGAGGACTTTACACGTAGATAGAGTGGGGCTGTCATTAAGAGTCTGATGACGAAGAAGTGTAATTGTTAAGGGAACTCCTCAACGGTATACAGTAACTACCTTGAGTTTGGGCTTGATTAATTTGTATTGATGAGGACTTTACACCTAGATAGAGTGGGGCTGTCATTAAGGGTCTGATGATGAAGAAGTGTAATTGTTAAGGGAACTCCTCAACGGTATACAGTAACTACCTTGAGTTTGGGCTTGATTAATTTGTATTGATGAGGACTTTGCACCTATGTATATTATAAGTAACAAAACGGGTATATGTAGCTTTACACTGAAAATGGTAAAATAATAAAATAAAAACTGCGTTTAAAAAACCGACTTCAATAACCAAAAACTAATAACAAACAAAAAGTCAATACTAAAAAGCAAAAAATAACTATTATTAGTACTGATAGGTTACCCACCCACTGATAGGTAAGAAGTCGGTGCCATAAGTTCCATACAAAATTATTCATTAAAACCTTAATAGGTATCTAATTCACAATTTTGTGGACATTAAGTTATATCATTATGATATGGGCTTATGGCACCGACTTCTAACCTATCAGTGGGTGGGTAACCTATCAGTACTAATAATAGTTATTTTTTGCTTTTTAGTATTGATTACACGTACGGCTGACTCTTGTATCTGTAGTTACTCGACTAGTTTCAAGTCAAGCCAAAGGTTCATAATCATCAAAAGCAGCTGAATACAAGATTTTACTATAAAATTATGTCTGTTCAGGTTCCCGAACGTTCGTAGAGGACAAGATTTACGACAAGTTCGTAGAGTTGGCAGCAGAGCGCGCAAAGAAACGTGTTGTTGGAGACCCCTTCAAACCAGAGACTGAACAGGGACCTCAGGTAGGGAGCACTTGTTACTAATAGTATTAAAAATCTAATGTCATGCTCATGTCAGAAGTAGGCAAACACAAAATGTATTTATTACCCAATTGCATATTTTTTATGTATGCTCGACGATTGAGTCCATATTTGTATTTATTAAACAAGGAATGCAATGTTATGTTATGTACTCTAATCCTACCTGAATATAGAGCGATAGCTTATCTTTTAGCATAGGTAATCTCGTACTTGAGTACTAAAGTGGAAACTACTTATTCCATTAAACAGCAACGTCAATTCAATTTTCTCATACTTTTGTCATTTTTTTTTATTTGAAACTACTGTCTTATATTTTTGACACTTGTGTATTAGTTTACAAAGTTAATTATTGGTGTATAAAGTTATCTATCAAAAATATATTTTTTTATTTCTAGATCGATGCTGAGCAACAGAACCGTATCCTAAGCCTAATAGAGAGTGGTAAGAAGCAGGGCGCCAAGCTAGTCGCTGGCGGAGGCCGGGGCTCCGACACTGGGTACTTCGTGCAACCCACTGTGTTCAGTGATGTCAAGGACAATATGGACATCGCTACCACTGAGGTATGGTGACATAGGCATATTAATTATTGTTGAGCAAAGAAACTCAAAGTATTTTAGAATTCATGGTGACAAGATCTCTTGTCTTGTGGTCAAGAAACTAATGATGGATCTCGATAATCTAAGGTTTCATTATGCATAAAGAAATCTCTACTTTAGGCTCTCGAAATAGTTTTGTAGGCGTCGATTTTATTTCGAAGGACCAAGGCAGGCAAAAATAATTTCGAAGGTTCTAGTTTGCTATTTTTTTAAATTAAATGATACGGCATCTTATTCACCTTTTAGACTCAAAAGTTAAACAAAAAAATAATTGGTTGTTGAATTTTTAAAAAATTATTTTGCAAATATTTATAATATTCTAATTTGAATTTAATGTATGTGTTTGTTGCGTGTTTAGATCTTCGGTCCAGTCCAGCAGATCCTGAAGTTCTCCCAGTTGGACGAGGTGGTGGAGCGCGCCAACAACTCGGAGTACGGCCTGGCCGCCGCCGTCTTCACACAGGATATAGACAAGGCTAACTACGTTGTACAGGTTTGTCACAAATTATAATGTGTATAAAATTATCATAATTAAGATATACGGATGAAAAAGATATCCCTAGAAGCAGCATTAACTAATCTCATGTGATATTCATTAAAATTGGGTGTTATTTATTTGGATATTGGATAGTTTAGTTTTGAAATCATGTGTTACCTAGGATCTCGAGTGCTATTTGATCAATTCTTATCGCCTAAGTGTATCTTATATCATACGCGCTAATCTAAGGGACTACCGGTTCGAACTGGTGGATAGTCCATTTATCCAGGAAGGCTATAAAACATGCTACGATCAATAGCCGCCGGGCAGGGTGGGTCAAACCCCGCGGAAGTAGCTAGTGCTCTTATAAGTAGACCCTCTTATATAGTCCTCACTTAATTTACTTATTATTAAAATTACAGAGGCTCCGTGCCGGCACAGTATGGGTGAACGACTACAACGTACTCAGCAACCAGGTGCCCTTCGGAGGGTACAAGCAATCCGGCATCGGACGCGAGAACGGACCATACGGCATCAACAACTACACAGAAGTCAAGGCTGTCATTACTAAACTCAAAGAAAAAACCACGTAAATGTAACAACTATGTATTTTAAATAAGCCATTAGAACTGATTTACTATTTTTTTAGGTATTTGCCTATGAAAGTGCCGTTTTTGAACAGCTAATTCACGGTCGAAACGGCGATTTTATAGGTAAAGATTGATTTGTTTTTAAAGTTTCACATCAGTGTTGAAAATCATCTTTGCAACGATGGCTGGTCTCGACATGTTTTTTTTAATGAGACAGATAATATAATAAGTAATACTCATTTAAATGCCATTTTGAGTACTAACCTTTTCAGAATATTTGTTCAGTTTGCATTTAATTTCTATTATTGAAAAAATATTTGTTATTAATTTAGCTTTCTGCAATAGTGTAATAATTAGTCTGCATTTTGTTATATTTTATGTTCTAAGGTGCGCGTTAATAAATTAACGTTCGAAGCACTGTTAGAAGATTGATGAATAAAGAATATTCTGTATCTATTATGTTAATAACAAATGCAGTAATTGATAGAAAGGAACCAATCAACACAAACAATGTCTTCCAGTGTACGTAAAACGTAATATAATTGTAAGCACTCTGTATTTTTCTGTTATCATTTTATAGTGCCATGTACTGTTGCTTTTTTTTCTAATTTTACTTATATTTTTGTAAAATAAAACCGCAATATTAAGTACAAAGTTTTATTTTTAACAGTTACATCTAAAATCAATCACACATTTGAGTAACAATAGCTTTTAAAATGGAAAGTTTAGAAACCACATAATACTCACTTTATAAACCAACTTACATTTTAGAAAATCAAAGGACCATAGAAATGTACCAATCCAGGCAACTAATTAACCTTTGGTGTATTCAATACAATTAAAAATATAGAAACGAAGATTAAAATAACCTGATATATTATTAAAAGTGCTAATATTTATGTATAACGAGGTAAAACCTTCATTAGGTGCAACTATTCTATAAATCACAACAGTGGAATGTATCGGTGCCACTTACACTAAATCACATAGCCTTGCACTATAATCACTAAAAAACGATATAAAAAACACGGAAACAAATCTAAAACAAGAAAACCTACGAAAATATCTTTGGGTTTTCTAAATGCGAGTACAAATTGGACGGATGAGTAACATAATTGTGATAATAATATCAACGATTTAATTACGATTTATCAATAAAAGTGCAATACAAAAACTAACCACTTTGTACTTGTCAAACTGGACATTTCGAATACAGTTGCGAAGATTCATCAACAACAACATTTGGAGAGCCTCCGACTCATGCAATATTGTAAATTTGTACTTATGGCTTCAACATTAGTGTTTACAACTAAACAAACATTAATTCTGGATCAACAGAATTATTCAGTCCTTCTCCTCGTTGAGAGCGGCGAGGTTCTCTTCCGATATCTTCGCTAGGCAGCCGCAGGTGAGTGAATTCTTGTTACTGTTCGCGATGTCTTCCTCTATCTTCTTCTCCAGTAGCTCGAAGTCGTCGCCTTCCAGTTGGCACCGGATACACTCGTCGGACGAGGAGTCCTGGTAGCTCAGCACGTTCTCAATGTTCACCTCCACTTCATCCGACCTGTCGCAAGTGGCGAGGGAGGGGCTGCTGTTGCTTAGAACTCGAGATTCTAGGGTAAGTTTTGGAATAAATACTTCCGATTTGGGTCGTATTCTGACGTAATCAGGTGGTTTCGCTTTGCGAGCGACGTTAGGGGTTTGTGCGCGTTTCTCCTTGGGGAATATGCGCTGTATTCTTTCTTCGACGAGTGATATGCTTCGCTTGTAGACGACGGTGTCTTGCGGCAGATGGTCGCGAGGGCAGCCGTCGATGGCGTCCCGTGACTCGGTGTCGGAGTTATCACATCGGAAGTAGATAGTGTCGCAGCCATTCTCCTGCTTGACCTTGATGAGGCAGCAGTCGTCTTCCTTTTCGCAAAGTATCTCGTGCAGGGAGCCATGCAGTGGTATCAGTTTTACTTTACCGCCGAAGTTCTCCTGCATCGTTGATAGGTCGTCGTCTATGTACAAGTCCTCGGTACTTTTAGCTTCCTGTTGACAATCGATAGAATGTTAATAACACCATTAATCATTAAAATCTGATATATTGTCACAAATAATAAACCCTTTATAAATTTATCTTAGCTAAATTCTCACCTGTAAAGCATTGAAAGCCTGGCACCTCTTAAGAGCGTTGACATGAATATCGTCAGTGAGCGTATCGTCCAAGGACTGGTTCATCTTGTCCTTCATACTGACATTATTGTTACCTGGGTCGCAGATAGTGACATTCACACAGTTATCCAATACTTGTAGACTATTTTCTCCTGTTCTTGTGAACGTAATCTGCAGTAGTGGTTTGTTATTCCCGTTAATTTTCACACGAGAGAAGGACCTCGTTGGCTCTTTCTTTGACTTCATATCTTCATTATTGTTCAATGATTCGATGATGTTAGCGACTCCTTTGTTCAAAATGTCTTCGCTTTTGGATATTGTTACAGATCCTGTGGACGCATCATCAGTAAGCTCCTGTAGTAAGTGTTGGAACTCTTTCCGTATCATATCTCTGATGAAATCCTCGATGCTCTTTGTATCTGTTGATTGATCAATTTTGTGTTCTGATTTCTGGCTTTCCACTGTAGTTCTGCAACAAAAGAGAAAATATTTTTCAAAACTGAAAATTTCTAAATCATAATCTGTTAAAATACTTAATAACAAAAGCGGAGCGAAAAGTGACGGTTCGGTTCGATTTCTAATCTAAAAAATGAAATAGATAACATTTTTTCTTAAATAAAAATGCAAAAAGCTAACGTCACGTGGTGTTCCCAGGCGGTCACCCATCCAAGTACTGACCACGCCCGATGTTGCTTAACTTCGGTGATCGGACGAGAACCGGTGTTTTCAACATGGTATGGACGTTGGCGAACGAACAACCATATTTTACGTTTACTTACATCTAAATGACGTCACTTGATTATTTGTTATCCAAAATGATAAAGCATTATCAGCCTTTAAAAGAATGTACAGTATTTTATTATAGTAAGGCGTTATATCTAGTCTTTTTTTAAGGAGTGAAAATCATCGAATGACTTCCCGCCCGGGTGAGGTAGAGGGAGTGTCAGACTCTTACTGACTAAAAACCACCCCGTTCCTACTCCTGCACGTCGAGCCGAAGCCTTGGTAACCTATTAGGTTCTCCGCGACATCTAGTTTAGGCTGAAGGATGCCGCTAGTGACATTAATTTTTCAAAAATTATAATTAACGACTCTAATTTCTAATCTAAAAAATGAAATAGCTACTTTATATCTAAAACATATTTCTTTTCTTTAAAAAAAATGCAAAAAGCTAACGTCACGTGGTGTTCCCAGGCGGTCACCCATCCAAGTACTGACCACGCCCGATGTTGCTTAACTTCGGTGATCGGACGAGAACCGGTGTTTTCAACATGGTATGGACGTTGGCATACACTTTGTCGAAATTTATGTTCGCTTATGTTTTATGACGTCATCATCATATTTTTTTAAGATAAAGCATTACGTTTGCGTGTTACTTATCTATAAAAGCAAATTTTTGAGAAATATGGACTGTACACAGAATTATTTATTAGCTGCCTGTAGCATAGATAAGATAGAAAGAACTCTTTATTGTACACTATTTAATACTTTTGTTCCAAACAATAAAAAAAAATTGAGTGTCTTTGTGCATGGAAGGCGATGGTGATGGCGACGAAGATGTGATAAAATAAGACTTGCATGAGTTTTACTTACTCTTTATTCACCTCGACCCTGCGATGTGGAAGTTCAGGGCTCCGATTAAAGTTGACGCTCTTTGCAATCGTTTCCCGAGCCTGACAAAACTGATCCCAATGGTTGCCTGAAAATAAGGTTTAGATAGTATGATTAATACAAATAGAGTGTAGAAATATATATTACAAAAGAAAAAGATTGATGGGTATAATAATAGGAGTTCTAAAAATATATGATTAGTTTTAATTTTTTATTCCCAAAATACCTATAATTATAGTTTTAAGGTAATATAAATATGCAAAAACAATATCATGTATCTAGGTACTTACTTTTAGAATTTAGATTTAGGTATTTTACACCTAATTACATGAATAAAGTAAAACTGAAAATGCATTGGCAGAGGGTTAATTGTTTTAGATTTAAAATGGTTTAAAAGATTTGTTAGTACATATTAAGATAAGAAATAAAAGCGGCATGCAAATGAAATATTTTATTATACCAGCTCTTCACCTGGTGAAATATAAATAAACAAATGATAAGCAGGTTTAAAACTATTGTTGCATCCAAAACCCACTAACATTTTTTAAGAAAAAAATGGGTTGTTACTTATTATTAGATGCCTATTATTAGTAAGTTAGTTTTAATATCATTTAATCACAGGGTATTACAATACCATGCATTATCCTTACACTAGAAACTACAAGTAACAAACAACATTATATATTCATCAGCGCAACTAATATTCAAGTTATTTACCCATATTGTCTATTTGTGCTATAACACATTTATGAGTTTTATGAATTAAAAACAATTTTAATATGACAAAATGAGCAGCATACTCACTATAGCAGGTAAAATAATCTTGAGTCCTGAATGAGAGCTTAAATACAGTATAATTATAAACTGCTTCATAGTACAATATTCTTAGCTCCACGCCTATAGACTATAGACTATATATGTACACCTTTAATTATACATATAAACCGAACGCTTCCGAAAATGCTGACAAAAAAATGTATTTACAATTTTAATCGTTTTTGTTTACATGTATTCATGCGAAATCAGCCTTGAGCGGTTGATTAAAACTATTATTTAATTACATAAAATAAACTTTCATTTACTTATTTTATGAAAATTAATCTTGGTTTTTACAATCACCTGTCGGCATTTATCGGGAGCGTTCCGTATACACCTGTATATATCATCCAACAACCAGTCAAAAAGTACAATTAAGATGTGACTGACCATTTTTCCCGTTGATGGGTGAAGCTGGA